CGTCCCGCGCCGCCCCCCCCCGTGTTTACACCGGCCGCTCTCGCGGCAGCCGCTGAAGTCGGCGCCACTGCCTCGGCTGACCCCGTCAGGCCAGATGCATGTGCCTTGCTGGCACGGGTCCCGCTCTTGGGGTTCCCTGCGGGCTTCTCCCGCCTCCTTTCTTGCCCCACTTCTGGGGCCGCCTTTTATCTCTGCCGGGCGGCGTCTCCCACCGGCGTTGCCCGCCGGCATCGCCCGGCCCCAGCTGGGTATAAACGCGGCTTACAAACCGCGCTGGTGGTCTCCCCGCGCGCGTGTCCCTGCTTGCTCCGGCCTCTGTGTGGGGTAAGTAGGTGGTCACTTCCCCCCTTGTCCGGCCCTGGGGTACCCTTCTAACCCCGGCGTCCCTGGGACAAACAGCAGTGGTGAAATATGTATCATAGTGTCCCTGAGGCTATGGTATGGGTATCATGCTATTAGCTGGCTAAGTGCACAATTACCTTGAGATAAGCTATGCATGCAAAGTAGCTATCACACCATAAAAAGCTCCAATCAGCTATAAAGTTAAACCTTGAAAATGTGTACTAACTTTATAGCTGGTTGCTATTAAACATTAATTTGCATGTGCAGCAAGACCTCCCCTGTGGCTGAGAGCCCTGTCAGCCTTGAAGGGAGACTCAGCCCCAGCAGCTTCCAACTCTGGGTCACAGCAGCACAGGGACCCAGAGTCCTTCAGCTGTGGACAGTCAATTGAGGGGGCTCCCAGGTATGGGAGCTTCTATGTGTGCCATGGCAGGGGGCACAATTATGCGGATAGTGCATTACATCCCACCGCCCCTTTACCAGGGGCCCTGAAGATCTAGCTGTCTCCAGAATATGCATGGAATACATTATGAAAAAAAGAGTTGGTTAAAAAAAGAGTTATGTTTGAAGTTACGGGTAATTAGTCTCCCAAAACAACTTTACTTACAATCCTTTTACAAATAGAGGAATAATTAGCAGAGTCAGTTCTCAACTGATGCAAATTAGCACAGCTCAGTTGAGATCAATGGAGCAATGCAAATTCATGCCAACTAATCTTCAGCTGTAAGGAATCTAGCCTCTGGGATCTGATCATTTATTGCTATTGTCCATACTTGACTTAAACTAACCACCCAGCTGTAACTTTGTCCCCTTTCTTTTCTTCTTGAAAGAGAAGGTAAAACTGGGATATAACTGGGATTTGTACTGTCTATTAAATACTTAGTAAGGGTATCAAAAGGAATACACTGTAGTTGCAAGGTGCATCAAATAGTGTAAATGGTTTATATATTTTCTTCTCATGTGACACATGCTGGTGGAGAAGCATGAGTAAACAACACAAAAGTTATGGAATGTGTTGAGTATATCATGGCAGATGTTTATCTAACTGTGGGCACATCTACATGAGACACTACTGTGCAGTAGCAATAAGCTACTGCACAGTAGCTTGTTGGTACCACATAGTAGCATGGCTGAGCACTAACCATGACACAATGCTACTGTGCAGTAGTGTTGGAAAAAAATGTGCGGTGACAATACTATGCAGTAACAACTGCACAGTCCTCTGCTTGTTTACATGCAGCCTGTGTGTAGTACTTGCAAATGCATTATCATCTTTATTATGTAGCATAGGTAGGCTCTAGAGTTATTAAAAAGTTGTAGGTACTTGAACTCCTTTGGAAAATAAACAGAAATTTGCCATGAAAATTCATATGTAGTTTTGAAAAATCTGCCTATAGAATTTTTTTTTTTTTTTGGTGAGTAATGGTAGTATGCTACTGGCTGTGGAATTTTTTTTAAATAGAAGGTAGAACATTATGATCTCTTAGATACCTGCAATTTTTCTATTTGCATACATTGCTATTTCTTCAAATTTAAGAGCAGAGTTAAGGGTGCTAAATCAGACCGAATGACAGAGTGTAATGAAGAAGTGTCTGAGTCCTGGGCAGTGAGTTGTATGGTTGGATGTTTTATTTACTTATTTCTGATTAGTCTAGTATTCAGGGTCTTTAAAAGATGTAGAATGTTTCTAATGAAAGGTGTTATTGTTGCATGTTAATTGGATTCTGTTGAAACATACTCTGATCCTTAAGGTCAAATTAAGTTGAGTAAGTTGATAAGGCCCACATGATGTTCCCGAGGCCCATCAGTGTAAGTCTTAACTTGGGTAGGGAAGAGATGCACCTAACAGATTAACCAAGGGTAACAAACATACAGCCCACTGGCTGGATCCCACCCATGGAGCCCTATAGTCTGGCCCCATGGGCCAGCATGTAGGGCAGGTCTGGCAGGGCGTCTCCTTAGTGCACACCCTGTGCCAGTCGCATGCACCATGTGGAGGGCCGTGGTGTCCTTCACATAACACATAGGGTTGGACTGGCTTTGCACACTGCATATGATATTAGAAGTTGGAATGGGGCAGATGTTGTGTGCAACCCCCTTCCAGAGCAGTGCTTCTTGTTGGCCCTGATACAACTTGATCTGGCATACAGACTAGCCCAACAACCCTCATCTAGCTTGTGGGGCCAGATGAGTTTGGCATGCCTGGACTAACTGAATCAGAGATGCATAATGTTTCATGAGCAAGCACTCACATGAGTGAGTTGGTAGGGTGTAAATGCATTCTGGGAAGTGAGAGATGTATACCTTCATAGAATGTAGGAGCAAATGGATATGGAAGAACAATGCAGAGTCTGGGCTAGAAATTGTCTACCCACATAGGAACCTTTTAGCACAAGTGTTATATTTAAAATATTTTAAGAATTTTAAGTTTAACAGGAGGGAAAAACTGCCTTTTTCTGTCGCCTTTCAATTCCTTGTATTCTTGTGGTTCCTACGTCCTTCCAGCAATTTTTGTTATGCTGATTTCTACATTATCCTTCCTCTGTGCACCCCCTTCCTCCAGTAAAAATCACCTGCAAACAAATAAACTCCATTAGAGTCCAATTCTCTTTAAAAAGGCCTAAGTAACAAAAAAGATCTAGAGTTCCTTGCCAAGCAACTTTGATGATAAAATGGAGTAAGAAACATTAGAAATTTTGTTTTCAACATGTCCGTAACCTAAGAAATTTCCAACAATCTAGTTTTAAAAATCTTCTGATTTATTTATTCTTACCTTCCCCTCCCTAAAAAAAAAAAAAAAAAAGAGGAAAAAAACTGTGCCAGGAAATCCTACCCTGGAACAGAATATGGATTGTGAAATTTCAAAAATGATATATAGACGTTTGAGTGGATTAGAAGTTAAGAGTTACAGATGAACTGAGAATCAGGATGACAAGGATGGAGTGGGTGGAACTATGTAGTAACATTGGACAGCATCAAATAAGTTGTGCTGTGATTGGTTCAATCAAACTATGTGATACTAGGACATGAGTGATTAGATTCTTGGTTGCAACACTGTGACCTTGCTTCTGTGAAGAGGACTGTATGATAGAATTTCATTTCTGTTTCTGGGTTAGGGTACATAGGAACAGCTAGAGAGAGACCACCACAATTGCATTTTTGGCTCCTCTGGGTTTCCGGTAAACCTTTAACATTTATAAATATGAATTTAATTTATATATTTATTATAAATATACATTTAAAATATAATTTAAATATAAATTACATTTAAGGACTGAACTCCTTTCTCCTGACAGAAATATAAACAAACATAATTTATGATTATACAAGATAATTTATATATAAGTTAAATTAAGATATCTTGCATAATCATTAATTATGTTTGCTTAGATTTCTGTCAGGAGAAAGGAATTTAGCCTTCACATTTTTTGACTGATCCAGGAAAATTATTTCAGGCAAATAAATGACTGTTTTTGTGCATTTTTGAGAACTGAGGTGCCGTGGGTATATGTGATAAGGTTAGGTTGCCCTTGATATTGAATGCTGATTTATAGGGCTGTGCAAAGCTTCGGGTACTGATTCAATTTGGAGGAGATGCAGACTGATTCCTAATTGAATAAGGGTGCCAATAAAGAGGTATGAATCAATTCCAAAGATTTGGAGAGCTTTGATGATTCAGGCAGTCTTAGTCCACTGTAGCGGGGAGCTGGAGCCAGACTTGGAGCTGGTAAGTAAGGGGCGGGAGGGGGGCAGAGGGGGAGGGGACCATGGAGGGACCCCTACCAGGCCCCATCCTTTTCCTGCTCCCCCAGCCCCTGTCTGCTCCCCCAGCCTTCTCCCTGGCTGCCCCAGCTCCCCGGGCCTTAAGAAAAATCCCCCACTCACCGGGTGCTGCCTGGTGTGTGTGTGGGGGGGTGATCCCCACTGCCCCCTAGTGTCCCATGCTGCACGAGGGACTATGCCATGAGCCCCAGACCCCCTCTCTGTTTCAGCCCCCTGCACAGCTGCCCTGCCCACCCCAGCTCCAGCCCTTTAAAAAAAAGAAAGGAAAAAAAACCCCACACTCACCAGTCCTGCAGTGGCCTTGAGGCTTCAGGGGGCCCATAGAAGAGCCCCCCCGCCACATGATGCAGGTCAGTGTGGGGGGCAGCAGTGATTGCCCCCCACTGGGCAGGATCCTATGAGTTTGTGGCTTTTTGGGCTTTTTTTCCTTAAAGGGCCAGAGCTGAGGCAGGCAGGGCACCCATGAGGAGGAGCTAGGACAGTGGGGGGGGGTATCAGGGGGCTTGTGCAGTGCCCCTCATGCAGCATGGGGCAGTGGGGGGCAGCGGGGATTGCCCCCCACTGGGCAGGAACCTGTGAGTTTGCGGTTTTTCAGGCTTTTTTTTCTTAAAGGGCAGGAGCTGAGGTGGGCAGGGCACCCATAAGTGGGAGCTGGGACAGTCGGGGGGCATCAGGGGTCTTGTGCAGTATGCCCCATGCACCATGGGGCAGTGGGGGGCAGCAGGGATTGCCCCACCCCGCCAGGCAGCACCTGGTGAGTCAGGGCTTTTATTTTTTTTCAAAGAGCCAGGAGCTGGGGTGGGCAGGGCAGCTATTGCTGGGGCTGGGAGAGCAGGCGGGAAATTTAGAGATTTGGCTGATTTGCAGCAGCCAAATCTCCAAATCAAATTTGGCCGAATCAATTTGGGACAGTGACTCAAATCACAGAATCGCATCACTGTCCCCCGAATTTGCTGAATTCAAATCTGAAGGGAATACTAGCCGCATTGCACAGGCCTACTGATTTACACTTAGACTAGGGACAGAAATTACACACAAACTAGTACAAGTGATTGGAAACTGATTCAGATCTGTAACACAACAGAAGTTCAGGGCACATAAACCACTATCAAAATGCTTGAAACTGGTCTAAGATGAATCTGGATGTACATAGTATCAGATTTAACTGATTTAGGTTAAATCTTTTTATTGAACTTCTGTCCCAGATCCTTTTCAGATTCAAGCTGACTCTCAGTCCACCAGTATTCCAAGATGCTTTGCACCTTCCACATAAGTCCCCTCTTTCAGGGTAGTTGGGCTAGCCTTGGCCCAAGCTGTCTGCTCCAGCCAAGCAGGAAGAGTTGTGCTCTACTGCCCTCTGGCTTCTGGCCTAAACCACTGCAGGTATGTGGCTGCATTTCCAGAATCAAAAGTGATTGTCTGTTCATTTGCTTATTGATTCAACCTATGCAGTTTAGAGACTAACCTGTGAAGATTGAATCGATTCAGCTGCAGGCTGTTTGACTTTCTGTAATTAGCCCTAAGGTCCCTGCTGTGCATTACATACACTATACAATTAACTGGTCAATCTAACAATAAATTTAGACTGGTCACATGTGCAAAGTAAGCCCGGGCACATGTACAATGCAACTATCACACAATTAACTGGTTAACCACACAATGAATTTAGACCAGCCACATGTGCTAAGTAATTATTGCATGATAAAATGACCAGATATAAGAGAGCCAGACATCTATAAAGTTAGTATTTGAAAATGTGTAACAACTCTATAGCTTGTTAATATCCAGCCTTAATTTGATTGTGTAGCTGGGCCCTAAAACACAGACAGTGTGATTACTGTGTATATAATGCATTTTAGAACTGTGGCAATCAGATCTCATAATAGAGATGATATCTTTTATTAGACCAACAAGATTTTTAGAAAAAAAAATTCTTTAATTGCAAGCTTTCAGGCACAAACACCCTTCATCAGGCATTGGAGAAAAAAATGTAAAAGTTCTCCTGGGTAGAAATGGAAGTTCATATTTCATAGAATATCACAGAGGAGTCAATGGAAGGAAAACTCCTCTGGGCAGTCAGCTCATAGCTGGTATGAAGCCTCTCACCTCCTGTGAGGATCTGTGATGATGTAAATTACCTTGAATCAAAGGCAGGAGCAGGATCTCAGGTTTCAGGTGGTCACAGTTGCTTCCCGCTTGGGAAAATATGAAGATTTCATTTTAAAAAAATGGCTGTAACTTGATATCTTCCGTGTGTCAGGTATCCTGGTTGTAGCCGTATTGGTCTAGAGGAAAGAGACGATCAGGACTTGTAGTAGAGATTATATCCTTTATCAGACCAACAAGATTTTTGCAAAAATAATGTCTTTAATTGCAAGCTTTCAGGCACAAACACCCATCATCAGGCATTGAAGAAAAGATTGTAAAAGTTCTCCTGGGTAGAAATGAAAGTTCATATTTCATGCAATTTTACAGAGGAGTCAATAGAAGGAAAACTCCTCTGGGTGTTTTAGAACTGTGCGCCTTTATGGCTCCATTTTGGTTTAGCTGAGGTGGGGAGGCTTGATAGCATGCTGGGTGAACTGTAACTACATCTTGATAAAATGAAATGCAAGGCTGAAAATGTATATGCGTTTAAAACTCTAATTTATCTAGCCAGAGAAATCCCCACTGTATAATTCTGCAGCTTAAACAGTTGTGTTCATGATGTACCAACCTGTTGTCCAGTAACTTGTCAGATTAATTTAATTAAAGTCCTGTCTTTAAAAATACACTTAAATCTATGATTCAAAGCATTTAATCCCTTGAGACAGAAGCTCTGGTTAAGTATGAATTTAGCCCAAAATAATTAACCTTATTATGCCTAGTACATTTTTTAATTTAATAGAAATAAATGTCATAAATGTTTTATCATTAATTATTATTATGATCACAATATAACAATCTTATCTAATAAATATTTTCACTGGTTCAAAAACTAGTGTTACAGTGTCATTGAAACTACTTTTTCCTTGATGAAATTATTTTTCCCTAACAATATAGTACAATTAGGCAGTTTCCTATTAATTGGTTACACATTAGATACTTTTATTCATGAAGTTATGCTTTACCAGCTGAACAAGTGGCTGTGATAAGAAAATTGCTGCTCTCTTTCAGACAACAAAAGAGCATTTCTAGATCTCCTTTGCTGGTAATAGGTGGAAATAATCCTTTTATTTCAATACTTACCAAACTTGGAAGAGCTGATAGAGATATTTACTCTCGGTTCCAAAATAATGTTCATTTAATTCAGGCTGTGATGGGTCACCAAGTCTGCCCCATCACAGAACTTCGGGGGAGCGAAGGAAAGCAGGAAACTTACCTTAACATCCAGTCCCAGGAGAAAAGGGGTGGGGCTACCCGGGATGGGGGAGCGAGAGACCCGGATGAAAACATTAATAAAGAGAGCAGCAGGTGCGAAGGGAGAGAGTGCTGGCTGTGAGAGAGGCAGCAGGTGACTGGAAGGATTTAAAGGAGAAGTAACCCAGATTTAGCTGGCAAAAGAGAAGAAAGCACCCCAGAAGGAACAGAGAGAAACTACAAGAAAGAGAAAAGGGAATATCAGAAGGACCTGGGGAGAGACTTGCCTGGGAAGCTGAAGTGAGTTAACAAAGGAGGACTTTGAGTTGGTGAGTCTGATACCTGAAGACATCGAGTAACATCCCAGAGACTAAAAATTAAGAGAAAGGAATGACAGTGGATGAAAACTAGCAAAGAAAAGAGATCCCCACAATGTTGATATCAGTAATAAATACAAGGTGACCTAGAACTGCTATTTGCTTGGGATCCATGCAGAGGAGAATGGAGCAAGCAATGAAGAAATTGAGAATTCTCAAAGAGAGAGGGAACTAAATATATATAAGATATTATTTATCCAGAAGAGACATAATAGTTGTGCCGAAGAGTTGTTTTTGTTGAACCGCATATACAATATCTTCCTCATCTCTCAGGACTGTATTTATTTCTGTCCCTTATTCCATCAAAGTTATGGCAGGTGAGAAATAAAGGAAATGAACCAGTTCATATTAAAACAAAAAATGGTTATTTATTTTTGTGGGCATAGCTTAACTCTCACACAGGCTTACTTAACATTTTCCCTAAAATAGGAAAAAATATTTAGCTCATCTGCTAAGTAGTAAATGGTGTCTCAGTCCAGGTTAGCCTCCTAGCAAAATTGTCTTGGTAATGTAGAGTTGGGATATATTCTAAGTGTAACATATGTTATTTACATACATACACCAGTTCTGTAAGAAAGAGGTTCACAAACAACATGCAGATTCCTTCCCTGAGTGATCTCAATTGGTAGCGTCTTCTTTGGTGAATTCTATCCCAATGTCCAGTACCCAGAGACTAATTCTGCCTTAGAAATGCAGTTCAAACAGAGACTATCTTTTGCTATGTGCACAGTCCGTGGGCAGATCTAGGATTTTGAAAAGGGGAGAGCAATTGGGGTGTTGCACTATACATGATATGGCACCACATATTTTTCTTTACTTAAAAATAAACTAGAAGATTTACTAAACTAGGGGCTCAAGATTATGTTATTCATTTTAAAATTGAAGCATTAATTTACTATATTACCCACTGCATATAAACACATCACATATAAACATATAAACACATCAACACATCACTAGGCAAACTAATCAAAAGCTGTTGTTATATTTGTCCAGTAGCCATTAGAATTAAATGTACATCTCTTTCTTCAGAGTCATAAGACAAATTCTGGCTTCTTGAGCATCTTGACAGTGAATCTAATGCTTCACTAAATGAGGTTTCCACACCTGAGTTAGTGTTTTTAACTAAAGTTAAAAACAAAGTGCAAAGCTGCAAAATAAGAGCTACATTACCAAGAGTAGCTAATACACAACAGAATTGCAGAAAAAAGCCTAGTTTGATCAGCTGAACATTAAAAATATTATAAAGGAGAGAGAGCCATTAACCCTTATGGAATGAAGAATTCAGCCATAATCTGGTAGATTATAATGAGCCATGAAGTCAAGTCAAGTGAGTCCCTCACTGCTGCCAGAATAGAGAAGTTGCTGCCACTGCCAGTCAGTTGGTTTGAAACATCATGTGGACCAGGAATCAAAGCTGGGGGGGCAGGGTGGGGGAAGGTGTCACTGCACCACTGCACCTTTCTGGTTCCACTCCTTGTGCATGCTATATTCTAGCCAAGTTTAACTAAGGCAGGAGCACACAGAAGGTGGGTCCCTTCATAGAGAGACAACTCTGCCAGAAGTAGTCTTTCTGCTGCCACATTACAGCAGCCTCCACACGTAGGGTGGTGTTACAAGTTACCTTTCAATTACCATATAAGTGCTTAAAATGAGTGTATTCACCATTAAAAGGTATTGACCCATGATAGGTACCCTCTAAACATCATGCCATCCAGGGTGAGGTTTATCTTTGAACCCTTTTACCCACATTGTTCCAGGGTATTGTTAGAATACTCTGGGGAGAGAAAACTCTCTGCTTTCATTCCTCCAACATCCCAGGATGCACTATTCTTAGTCCTTCCCATTCCTCTGCTGTGTGGGCAAAATTTCAACCTGCCTGAACTCTACTGCCCATGGGGTAGTGCTGGCTGCAAGTCAACAACTCCTCCCATCCCAGGGGTGTGACCCTGATCACTCTGAGCACACAGATGCAGCTTCATCAGTTTCCTGCTTGCTCTAGCATCTCTGAACAAACAGCAGCAATCAGTCCTTCTACCTACCCCCTCTATAGTATTGGATCCCCAGCTCTGCCCCAGCAGTGAGACTATGAAGTCTAAGCTCTATTCTGGTGTATTAACCCATCTCCCCTCCTGAGACCCCAGCTCCAACCCAGTTCAGTGAAACATGTGTAAGTTGTTGGTATTTTATTTTATTCTTTCACTCCTTTTTCTTTACTTCTTACCCCTCCCCAACTCCAGGTTCACTTCAAACAGACTTTTTAAATGCCTTTTCTTGTCTGAAGCCCCAGTTCCCATGCTGGCTTCTTTTTCTCCAAGCTACATGCCACCCCGCTTTCCAACCACAGAGTCCTGGCTCCTGTCTTTGGCCTTGATCTCTAGGGCTAGGGACAAACATTCAAAAAGCCTGAGCCTGAATTGATTCCATCTTTGCAGGTTAGTCTAACCTGCCTAGGCTGAATCACTTTGTAACTGCCAGACCTCCCTTCTGGACTCAGAAAATACAGGTACATGCCTGCAATGGCTTAGTCTAGAAGTCAGGAGGCAATAAAGCAGCCCTTTCTTCCACAGTGCTGAGCTGAGGGGAGGGGAGGTGCATGGCCAGGAGGCTCTGATTAGAGAGGGGTTCTCCCCCTCGCTGGTCAGTAAGGGAGCCAGTAGGGGTTTATACAGAGTTTATTACCCCATCACCAAAACAAAAGGATCTGTCATTAGTTCAAGCTCTTCTTAAACAACTTGTTCCAAGAAAAGATGGAGATTACCAACTACCTGTTGATTAGCTCCAAAGAGCCCTAAGCCTGTCTTGCTTCCCTTTGTCTGGTGTCCCACAGCATGGACCGCAGGCAGCATGTGGTATGCTAGCTAGTGCTGACAGGTGTCTGTGTAAGGCAGAGGAGATGAGGGATCCCTGCTTAGCAGGGTGTGGTGAGGGAAGGGGAGAGGGTGGAGCAAGGGGGAAGCCAGACAGACACCTACAGTCTCTGCCAGAGCTCCAGCCAGGGAGCAGGGGGGAGGGGCCAGCCCTGCTATGGAACAGAGAGCCCCACCCAGCCCAGAGAGCATGCCAGGATGCTGGAGGAGTCTGATTTAACTTAAACTAGGAAGGAGTCTGGGATAGACGTTGCATAAACCAGTTTGACCCAAATCAGTAAAGTTTGATACTACATTCAATCAAGTTTATCTCAAACTGGTTTCAGCCATTTTCAAACTGGTTTGTGTGCACTGACCATCTGTTCTGTTACAGGTTTAAACCAGTTTCTGATCACTCAAACCAGTAATGTCTCTCTCTTGCCCAGGCCCCCTAGAGTGTCAAGTCCCAATTATGCAGGTCTAAGATGTTATAAAGCCTTAAACTTGCGACTGCTCTGAAACTCTTCTAAATTTATGATAGTGAAACTTCCACACATTTTTCATCCATAGCAAAAGCTTTGCCAACATAAATCCTGCCCTCTGCTGTACTTGTCAGATCCACTCCAAGAGTTTTTGATACTAGAGCTACATCATTCATGTGAGGATGACCTTTTCATACCCTGGGCCAACAAAACCTCGGCTGGCAGAACTTTGCTTTCTGCATAATGCGCATAGGTTACAAATTCTTCTGTGTCTGGCACAGCCCCTCACATACATAATCAAAGTAGGTGATACCACATCCTTGCAACATCCTTGCATCCAAATTGAACATTTGTTTGCAAGGTTGGGAAAGAAATAGGAAGGTGTGTAACAGTAATGCCACATGATACCTCTCAAACTACTTGTACATACAAGGCACCCATTCAAATGTTTAATCTGGACAGAACAATTGGATTAACTCAACTGCCTCTCATGTTTTTCTGTGTTGGTTCTGTGAATTCCTTATAGCTCTCAAAATCCACTTTTCTTACACCGTAAGTTTTATACATGTAGGAAAATAAGGCAAAAAGGACCAATTCTGCTACCTCAAAATATGAGTAACTTCTATATGTGGAAGCGTCAGCTCCTTGAACACTCTCTTTAAAAATAGGCATTAGTAGATAAGTCTTCAAGACAGGCATGAGTGATTAATTTGAAAGCTAACCATGGGTGGCTGATGCCTCCAGAGTCTGGGGGTCCCCCAGCAGCCAATTGCTGATGGGGGGGAAAGGGGGAGGAGTCCCCCAGAGACCGATCTCAGTGCCACCGGTATTTCTCAGTGCCTGCTGGTGCCAATCTCAGGGGGAGTACCAGTCAGCACTTCACTCAGTGCCCTCACTCCCTGGCTAGTGAGGACCAATCTCAGGAGGGGCATATGCTCCCCGCTGCCCCCTCTACATGTCGCCTATGAAGCTATCATTAAAAAAAACAAAACACTATGTAGTCACATGACCAATGGTGATCACCTGAAACAGATGTAACCATATAACTCCAGGCACCTAAATTGGAGCTTTAATCCCATGAGCTGAAATCACTAGGCATTGAGATAATTTCCCCTGAGATGGGTTAAGGTGGCTAACTAAATCTGTACAAAGTGGATCTTCATTTCAAGCAACTTCTCTTGTCAATATTTATACTACTTACTGCTGGGAGCTGGGTCTCAAAGAGTAACTATGTATCTCTTTCTCCTTTAAAAGTTTCTAATATTCAGATTTAAAGTTACAAAAGGATGACCATGGGTGGTTGTTTCTATATTTAATGAAATGACA